GTTGGCTTTAATGATTTGTAGTACAGGCAGAGCTATTAGCAATGAGTAGGAGCTGGAAGATCTCTGGAGTGCCAAGAAGCTGGATGCAGGAACCATAGCAATCACCTTCCAGGAGAAACAGTCTGGCTAGGATACCATGGTGATAGCCTCCTGTGATGTCTCTGACCACAGGTACTCCCTTCGGAGAAGGTCCACAGGAGAAAACTTAGGTCATGTGTCCTCCATGCACTGTTTTTCCAGGGGTTAGAAAATAATTGTAGGGTCATGTAGCTTCTGCAGTAGGAAAGTAGTCTCTGGTGTTGACAAAACAAAAGGGGTCAGTGCTGGACACCAAAACATGACAAATGCCTATTTCAAAAGTAACATTATAAGAGGCAATCAACATGACCAAGATTTCATGTCATGTTACATATTCTCTGTACAGAAGAATCTGAAGGCTAGAGAGGAGTCAGAAACAGCAGATGACAGCTTCCCCAAGGACACTGGTGAGATGGAGCTGGGAAGGAGTGGAGGAGGCTGGGGTGGGTGGAAAATAAGGAAACCAGGTCAGGAGACCTGAAGAGAAGAGGGCATGCCAGGTACCCTTTCCAATGAAAGCTGAGATAATGGGAAATGAAATGTTTTATTCCACTCTGGAACTCTTGAGTGCATTTGCCATTAATAGGACTATATCCTTTATGGCAATGACTAACTAGGTATGGACATGTTGTACCAAAACTAGCCACAGATTTACAACAAGTGCACTATTTGAATATGTTTCATGGTTTTGTGGGTAAGGGATTCTGGCAGGGTTTGGCTGGGCGACTTTTCTGTCCCATGTGACATTGACAGAGGTCAATGAGTGCTCAGTGAAACCACTAATGGATGAGGTGGTGAACAGGGTACAAGACAGCATCATCAGGTGTCTGACTTCTGGGCACAGAGAGCTGCAATGTGGGAGCTTGGGTGGAGGAGGCATCTATACTCGTCTTCTCAGCATGGTGGCCTCAAAGTAATCATACTTCTGCATCAGGTGGCTCAGGGCTCTAAAATCCAGGGTTCAGAAATGAGTAAACTACAAAGAATTTTTGTGAACCAGCTCTGTAAGTTATATAGTATTTTTTCCCTATCCACTATTGGCTGTAGTAGTAAGAAGCACGGGCAGATTTGAGTGGAGAGGGAGGGGTCAAATCTTTCTCCTGGGAGGACTGTAAACAAGTTTTAAAACTTTCATATGCAAACAGAGGTGTGTAGAGCACTGATTATGGATGAACATTATTTGCCATCTCTTTTCAGTTGTGGTAAAGTCCACTCTAGTAAGCACTTTTTCTTACTTTATAGATGAAGAAACTGAGACACAATGACATTAACAAAGAAGTTAAGTAATTTGCCTCAGACCCTTGTGTTTGCCACATCTGTGATAGAGCAGGACATTCTGATTACCCTTCTCAGATTATGTTTCAATTAGTAAGAATCCTTCCTAGAACATCAACCTTGTCTGTAATAATCTAACGGAGATAGGCAAAAGACAGGACAAATAAATTCAAATAATCATTTAAAAATAATTTTACACTTGATTTTTAAATGCATTTCTATACTTCCACTTAATTACTGTAGTGTCTGTTTGGGGAATTTTTGTATAGGAGCATAAATTCATAGCCATAGATATAGCCAAAGAAGCCCTGGACAATTATGTAGCTGTCCTATTCTACCTTTCATCTCATTTCCTGTCTGGAGACTTGTATAAGGGAGAAATCAATCCTAAGATTGATGACATAGACCAACTGAAATAATGCATTCCTCCTTCCATATCCGTGGAAGAAGACATAACAGTTAAGTACGAGTCTCTTGGGTCTTTTTCAATGAATTGGGATAAAGTAGCCTGGATTTCCTTAATTGCCAAAAGGTGATGATAGCATCCACCTTTTAGGGTCACCATCTGTAGGGGAAATTACTTTGTTTTCAAAAAATGAATGGTCAACCCACACCATCAAGTGTGGGTTTTGTGTGGACTGTTGATCACTTGCCACAGAGACTGGTGTTATGGAAAGAAGGAAGGAAGAAAAGGAGAGAGGGGAGAAAAGTGGGAAGGGACAGGCAAAGACAAATTCAAGGTGTAAAGATACTAATAAACTTGGGAGCTTAGTTTAGTTGTTATAAAGCTTCAGTGAAGAAACTCTTCTCAAAGAAAATTAATGCAAAGTACTAGGTATTGTTCAACCATCATAAAAATACCAATTTACCTTATCGTCAGCAAATAATGACAGTTTAACTTCTTCCTTTCCTGTCTTTAGTGCTTTAATTTCTTTCAGGGAAAAGAAAAAAATGAGAAAATGAAAAAATGGAAATAAAGTGTTTGTAAATGGGGAGGGAAGGAGGGGGTGAAGGGAGGGCAGGGACAAGGGGAAAAAATGAGAAACAAGACCTGTCGTGTAAAGGTACAAGATCCCAATAATGAATGTAACTGTACTGTACACCTAAAATGTACCAATAAACTCAATTAAAAATACCAATTTATATGTAACAGTGAAAATAAGAAGATCCACATAGCTTTCTAGATCAATGTTCCTGGAGTTTATGCAGCACAAAAGAAGTAGGAGGACTATTTTGTTATGACTAGAATTTTTTTAAAAAAATCCCTCTTCAAGATTTATTCTTACTTCGGAGACATAAATCATTGAAGCAGTTTGCTCAGGAAGCACTGTTCATCTTGTTACATTTCCAGGAGCCAAAGAAACCAGTCTGTTTGGAAGAATTCTTTGCATAAACAGACACACATCATGACTCCTTAAACAATTTCATTCACATTGAGTGAAATAAACTTGACTATACCCAAAGCTGTCACATTGTGATTGATTTCCCAATTTCCCCCATTGTCACTGGGCTAATGCGATCACGGCACATTGTACGCATGTCCTTCAAACCCCGTGGGCCCTCTGTTTCTGGGAATTACAGTGACTGTGATGTTGGGTTGAGGAAGGACACTGCCTAACTAGCCCAGCCTGGCCTGTGAGAAATAGCAGACAAGATATGCCTTGATTCTCTGCTTTATGATGCAAGGCTTTTCTTTCCTCCACCAGTGTGGCAGACAATCTGTGGAGACCTTGCTGTAGGTCTAACTCTTATCCCAGGTTTTGGTGAAAAATCCTGAAGATGAGGAACTATCCAGTGACCCAAGGAATGTGACACCCTTTCTCATTAGCCTGCCAGATCCCCTTACAACAGGGACTCTTCTGTGGTGATGCTACTGGAGCCATGTGACATGGTCCTTCATATCCAGAGTGACCAAGCTCTTGGAGAGACTGGCTCAATAACTTTTTTTCAGTTGGTTCTTCAACAAATATTTAATGAGTGTCAGAAATTATGCTGAGAGTTAGGACTTAAACATGGAAACAAACAAACAAGCAAACAATAAAAGAGTTTTCTTCATGCTTCCAAGTATCCCTCAGTCTGGAAAATGATGCAGCACAAAATTCACGCTTGGGCACAAAATCCTGACTTTTCTCCAAGAATATGATTTCACTGGACTCTTATTTCCTCTTCTGTAGTATGCTGATAATATGACCTACCTTTAAAGGCTGCTGTGGGAATAAGGAATTCCAAAGCATGTGATCTGTGTTGAACACACAATGATTAAAAAGGAACTTAGGGATTTTTACCCAGTAGAATGACAACCCCATCATCATTTTCTCACTTTTGGATGAATGAATACCTAAACTGCACAGGTATTAAGGTTCAAAGAAAAAAAAAATCCTAGGCCTTCTTCTTGTCTCCTTGTGTTTGTATAACACAGTACCTGAACCCATGGAATTTATAAAGATCAGAAGTTCGTTTCTCATAGTCCTGGAAGCTGGAAAGTCCAGGAGCAAGGCACCAGCAGTTTCCACCTCTGGTGAGAACACAGTCCCTGTTTCCAAGATTGCACGTTACCCCTGTGTCCTGTAGCGGGAGGTAATGTAGCAACCCCCCAGGGTAGAAGGGATAATTCTATGGAAAAGGCCAACCTCTTCTGTCAAACATGTTTTTTTAAGGTGTCTAATCTGCCCCGATGACTCAAACATCTCAAGCTTCACACGTCTTAAGATCACTGCATTAGAGGTTAAGTTTCAACATGAATTTTGAAAAGGACAAAAATGTTCAAAACACGGGGATTTAGCTCAGTGGCGCTGCATCTGCCTCCCAAGCACAAGGTCCTGAGTTCGATCCCCGGTACCAGAGGGAAAAATGTTCAAAACACCACAGCCTTCTGACAACTAGAGAATTTAGGGGTGAGGCTGAGAGTGGTGGAGTGAGTAGTTCCTAGGGTAAGGACAGGAGCTCAGAACTAACAAGTCAGACACTTGAGTTGCCATTGTTCCTGAGGTTTTCTAGGTCCTGGAGTGATCCAGAGACTGAAATCCTTTACACTGAGCCCCTGTCTCATGCCGCTGTCAGCTTAGAAACTAAACTCTGCCCTTGAATTCCCCCCTGTACCAGCTTCCTAGCGGAAGCTAGATCCTTCTGAGTCTCCATAAATCCTTTGCTGCTAGAAATCACAAGCTGAAGCACAGGCATATTTGCTAAACTTTCCCGCCACTTTTGGCACCTCACCCCAGCCTTGTGAGCGCTGCTCAGAGGCTCAGAGGCAGGCACAGCGAAGGTCCGTACTGTCCTCACAAGGAAGCGGGCCACTTGAAGCTCCCAAAGGTGGAGCCATCGTCCAGTTCCACAGAGCTGTAGACGTGTTTCCAGTGCCAGAGCTCACAATCTTTACACCCACTCTCCTGCTTTCAAAAACAGGAAAATGCAGAGAACCCTATTTTTGTTTAGAAGCAGTGGATGTCGTCTCTGCTCATACTTTGAGAGCCCTCAGAAATCTCACGGGAACGCCCAATAGTTCTCCCACTAGGGGCTGGGGATTTAGCTCAGTGGTTCCAGCGCCTGCCTTGCAAGAGCAAATCAAAGCCCCTAGTTCTAAAAAAAAAAAAAGATAAAAGCACAAAAGAATCTCCCACTAGGAGGACTTGGCGTCTGAAACCTGAGCCGCAGGATCGAGGTCCCGCCGAGCTCTCCCCTGAATTTTCTCCTGGAGGTCAGGAAATGCGGCTTTGCCTGGCCCCGCGCAGCCACCGTAGAGTCCCCGTTGCCATGGCTCCTAGATTCAGAAGCAGATGCTCGGAGCTCTGAGGCCCGGGTCTGACCTCCGGGAGCAGCGAACCCAAGAGGTGCCATGGGCCGGAGTAAGCGACCCCACCCCTCGCCCTCCTTCGTCCCCCTGCGGGCTTCGTGCCGGGTCCCAGGGTCTCTGGCTGCCAGCCTGGGACCACCGCGCTCCACACAGCCCTGCGCCCCCAGCTGCAGACCCAGTGGCCTCGCCTTCGGGAAGAGGCCCAGGTTCCAGTCTGTGCGGTGGGCGTGGAGAGCGGGCCGAAAGGCCCTGAGCTTGAGGAAAGGGGCAGTGGACCTGGCTTGGAGCTCGGCCTGGGCGCTCCGGGCTGGGCAGGGCATCTGTGTGGTCCTGGGCTGTCGCTGCCTCGCAGCCGCCGCCGTCGGACCCTTTCAGGGAGGCCGCGTGCCGGGTAGTCCAGGGCACTGACCCGGGAGGCAGAGTCAAATCCTCCCTCCTCCTGCTGCCTCTATGACTCTGAGCTGGTGACTCCAACTTTCGGCTCCAGCTTCCTCCGGTCCAGAATGAAGTACGGTACTTTTGCTGTCTAACAGGCGTAGTAAATGGCACTTTTGTACAGTCCCTCCTCGTCGCTTATTGTAAGAGTGACTTCGTTAATATTTTTGTTAAGCAAGATACTGTGCTAATGATGAGGTTTCTGACGTGGGATTGCTAACAGCCTGGGGAGGGACGAAGTGGAGGGAGGGATTTGTAAATGCTAAAACCCCATTCTTAACTAGTTCTGGTACTTCCTCCTCAGCTCTTGATGTGCCCTTTTGTTCCTTTTTCTCTTGTTCATCAGCCACTTCTACTTTCTTTGTGGATTACCGCTTGCTCTCTGTCGGTGGATCTCCCCCACTTTCATGTATGAAATCATTGATTTAGCAGAGCCAGACCTGTGACAGGGATAGGGATGCCGTGGTAAATGTGGCAGAAGTGGCCACCTTCCCAGTCGGGGTAAGCAGAGAGGAGTGGCCAGGCCCTGAGCCCAGGGCATATGACGGCTTCTCTAGGAAGCAGTGTTGTCTGGAAAGCTAACAGGGGTGCCTGTGAAATCCCAGAGGTGAGAAAGCATGGGCCCCTTGGTGGCCAGCTGTGACTGTCTGGAGCCTAGGTGAATGACAGAAAGAAGGGATGGAAGACTTGGGAGAAAGGTAGGCAGTGGTCGGATCACACAGCTTTTGGAGGTTACACTGAGAAATTAGAAAACTGTAAGATTTCAGTTCACTAAAGAGCAGTCTGCCGTGTTTCCTTCCATTGGTGGCCCATCTCTGCTCAACACTGGTGAAAGTCTCTGCAATTAAACAGCCGCATCTGGCTACACACTGAGTTCCACCAACTGATAGTAATGGTGTCCACATTGCCATTCTAGCAGCAGAGTTGAATCGACGTACAAATCCCATGGGCCACTTCTGATATCAGCTCTTCCAGGTTGGACTCTCCAGGACCGGGACTTTTAGAAATTAGTGTGCAGGAAGTGCAACAGAGACAGTTCTTGGAGTGGAAGTCAGTAGGGATGAAGGCATGATTAGTCAGAGTGAGGATTTGGGCAGAGATAATTTTTGTTTTGTTTTGTTTTTTGAGACAGGGTCTCACTATGTAGTTGAGACTGACCTGGAACTCACTATGTAGCCCGGGCTGGTCCCGAACTCACAGCAATCCTCCTGCCTCAGCCTCCTGAGTGCTGGGATTACAGGCATGCACCACCATGCCCAGCCCAGAGATAATATTTTAACTATGGCCTCATTCAACAAACCCCAGGAGCTCTAAACTTGAAATGTACCTCCTGACTTGCCCAAGCTGGGGGGAAGGTCTGGGCCTTTACTGTCTGACATTAACCAGTCATTGAAAGTGGTCTTACCTGGAGAAGGATCTGACCTTGGCTGAGGCATCCCCCTTCAGCTGAGGCAACTCCCAAAGAAGTGGACAGCTGGGTTTGGCTACTGGCAGAGCTCCCAACAGCCAGAGGAATTAATCTTGCAGTTTTGAGGGGAAGCTGGCCAGCACATTGCATCATCCAAGATAGCCTGGGGTGTGCTTTGCTTATTTGTTTCTCTGGAAAACATCTACTCCCATTTTACTCTTCAGCTCAGGCTTGTCCTAACTTAACAACACTGACAATTTTTCCTGTGTGCACATCACACAGTCTCTCTGCTTCTTTCATTGTCCCACAGCTCTTTGTGATTTTAAAAAGCAACTCTCCATCAGTAGCCCTACAAGTATCACAAGGTTAGGGTATAGTATGGCTGCTAGTGCTCATGACAAGTCCAACTCAGTAAGAAAAGGCAGAGTAAATGTGTAATTCTGGCTCTAAAAGTTTCTATTGAAAATGTTAACAAGGTAAAAAGCCTATAGGTAAATGACAACTATTTATGACTCCTTTATTTCTATTAAATCTTTTTTGCTAGGTCTTTCAAGATGTTTGAAAATTCTCCCAAGCCTGCCAAAAACATTTGTTGACCCATTTTATCCCGTGATAAAGATAGGGCTGCTAGCAGACCCTGATAAAAAATCTGAAAGGATGAATATTAAGTTGTTGGCTTTAGAAATTTCTAGAACTTAGTTGAGTACACAAAAAGCTCTGTGAAAGAAATAACAGTAGGGCAGCCTCTGACATCTCAGAATGTTTTTCCTTTTGCCCTTTGCCCCTGAAGTTATCTTGGTGATACTAAAATTATAGAGAACCCATTGGTGTGAAGGAGTTGGAAAGAAGCCTCAGTGGACTGATCAGTTAGATTAAACCTTAGGATTCCTTGATGGCAACTTTTAGTGAAGATAAATATATACCTGTGGTTAAAGCTATCACTATCCTTCATCAAGAACTAATTCTTGTCATGCAAATATTGGTTAGCACCTTCCAGAGCCAGACCTTTCTCAGGATCCATCCGAGTTTTGCATTTTATTGTTTGAAATTTTCTAAAATAATGAAAACGAAATGGAAGCAGTGTTTCATATAGTACCTTGGCATGCTTGTCCATATCATCCAGTAGGTATTGTAATACCATCTCTCTTGAAATAGTCTTATGATGACATTAATGCTTCCAAAGAATTTTTAAATCTCTAAAAGTGCATTGCAGTGGTGCATTATTTTAATTAGGCCATCTAAAGATGAAGGTTCATCTAAAGATGAAGAAGAAGGTTCATCTAAAGATGAATAGTGCTCTTTAGAGTTTGAAAGTGTTTGCTTTAAATTAGATAGTACTGTATGTAAAACTGCACAAAGGCTTTCCCATTTAAACGTGTGAAACATTATAATCTCCATGCACCATGTAGTTGTCCTTACTCACTTCTCCTTGGGCACTATAGTTTTTGTGTTGATGTTTGCCATTACAGGTGAACAGTATTGTGCAACAAGTTTCTTGAGTGCTATAAAGCAGCATGCCACATAGCAGTTTGCTTATTATAGAAGACTTCAGGAAAGGGCCACTGGGAAATTTCATGCTGTCATAATTCTATGTTGCTACCTCTGATTCTCCATTTTAAAAAATCTAACCTAATTCTGCAAATTTTTCCTGTTGGACAACTTCCCTATTGTGTGGAGTGATTGTTGAGCCTCTGTGTGTGTGTTTAGGGGGGGTGTGTGCATATGTATGTATGTGTGAATTAGTTATTCATGCTAAGGAAAAGTCCCTCATTCCCACTTCCTTTAAGCTAATAGTGATTTTCATGATCTTAATCCTCATGGTTGAGAAATGCTGATCAACATAAGTCCTTCCCAATATCTACGTTCTCCTGAAAGGGAGGATATGACAATTGCTTACAAATGGTCAGCTTTATACACATAATAGCATGATGGAAACAGTTTTTAAATTTTGAGAGACATAGCAAGAGAATATGGAAAGATATTTGGTACAATAGGAACTTCATCAGCCCTGTAAATCTTCAGAGTCAAACTACATGGAAAAACCTTTAAGACTGTAGAGCCGGAGGACACTGTGATAGATATCTTTTTAAAATTTTTATTTTTATTAGTACATATTTGCCATACAAAATAATCAAATTTATCACAGAGAATTTGCACCCGTACATAATATATCTCAATTCTTTTTTCCCATTCCCTTCCTCTCCCTCCAACCTTTTTTCTCTTCCCCATTTACAAAAGCTTTGTTTTCATTTTTCCCCTTCCATTCTCTTCATGTAATATTTAAAAATGTGTGTTGTAATTTTTTTCACTTAAAAATATGGTCTCAAGGTCCATGGGTTTATGTAGTTTTTGTGGTTTCTCTTGCCATTTATTTCTAATTTCATTGCACCTTGATCTGATAGTATGCATTAGATAATTTCAATTCCTTTGCATTTACACAAGTATGTTCTATAAGATAGTGTATGGTTTGTTACGGAGAATGTCTCATGTGTTTCTAAGAAGAAAGTGTGTTCTGTTGTTGACTGGAATGTTCTATAGATATGTCCATTTGTTCAAAGGTTTGGTTCAGCTTTGATATTTCTTTATTGATTTTTTTTGTCTAGTTGCTCTATTTGTGAAAGTGGAGTATTGAGATCTCCCATTACAATTGTATTAGTGGTTATCTGATTTTCATATCCATTGTTACTTGTTTTATATAGTTGGGTACATCAGCATTTGGTGCATTTATATA